CTCAAACTACCATTAGCCTGCTTGTAAGCAACCTTCGAAAGAGAAGCCATCGAAAGCCTTACCAGCAGCAAATAACTACTGTCACTAGCATTTGGGGTACTTCCGAAATGCCCCCTTCGTTCTCATATGGAGCGAGCGAATGTAGAAGGGGTTTTGACGACTTCTGATTTTCCAGTGCAGCATTTCCCCCTTCCCCGCTCACCTTTTAATCTCCAAGCTAGGGATATTCACTGTTTATATCATTAAAATTTCTATAACACTTTAGCACTGCAGACAAAGAATTTGAAAGTTGATTTCAGGATCCAGTACTTGGTCCTCCCCATCCCCCGCGCAGTTTTAGCTTCCTAGCTTTCATCATTTCGTGGTCTTTGTTACCTGAATTTTTGTTAGTGCAATACGAAGATCTTTTTCATCATACACTCGTGCAATCAGTACTCGTTTGAGCATATTTTCGGCTGCATTTTTATCCTGAAATGGGCATCTGAAGGTATACAGCCATTTGCGGTTCCAAGTGGGGAAGGAGGGTGAGGAGTCTTTCCGCAGGGGCTTATGTAGCAGGTATTTTGCTGTAGAAAAGTCTACTTGGAACCCGCTGTCGCCTCCCTCCCCAGGAGCCTTCGAAGGAACGGAGTGTAGTGACGAAGGAAGAAGGTACCACATTTACACATGATTCACAACATACACGATTCTGTAATCGTCACGATGAAACTAATAAATTTTGATGAGAATTTACCGCTCCTTATTAAATACAGAGGTCGCATAAATAAGGTGGCTTCGGATGAGAAAGTCACTGTCAGGCCAAGGAAATGCGCCTCCTGGAAACTAGGAAGAAATTATTCAAAATACTGAAAAATTAAGAACTAACCTGGACTCCGCGAGATTTTAGCATCTGCAGTAAGCGGATACTTTTGAAACTGCCATTGGTATCGATGTAGACAACTTGATCGCCCTGATCCTCATTACCGATCAACAGTTCAGCAATCAACGATAAGCATAACTATAATTTACCAAATTCTCACTGTTTTCGCTCAGTTCTAGCAGCTTAGCATAAAGAAGATCCCCCTAAGGACTAAATTTTTCGCGGGGAATTTCCAAAA